GTCACCGATATTTGAGAAATTTTATTCAAATATAAAAAGATCTTGTACTAAATACACAGGAAGTGGCAAGGTAAACACAAGAGTCGGGGGGGGGGATGAGTATCAACAGAGCAAAAGCTGGAGCTGTGTTCATGCTGGGAAGTCTTTAGAAACTGAACAAAAGAAGGCAGCAGCAATACTGAAATGGAGCATTAATACTGGGCATCATTAAAGACTGGAAAAAAAGAATATGATTTAAAATTCAGTGAAGAGTGAAATATTATATTTGTCAGCATATATCATTAACCATGCGATCAAATTATTAATGGTACAGAAGTTTAGTTAGGCACTGAGCAGAAGAGCATTTTCGCAAAGTCAGTGGCTATATTATCAAGCTTTTTGACTAGCAATATTAAGGTGCTGCAAGCTTTGTACCACAGGATGCACTCAACTAATATTGAACTGAACTGGCTCTGTTGGAACCAATAACATGTCCCAGTCAGTGACTGGCATGGGCATATTATCCTCATGAGTGACTTAGAAGATAAAGATAACAGTGGTATCATTAGCAGAGGCTCTAAATGATAGAAAACAGCAGCCAGTAGGACTAGTAGAACCAGTTTAAAATGTGTTCATTGTCAGAAAAGTAGAATATGGAAATGTCATTTTTGTTCCCTTTCAGTGATTTCCCAACAAATGTGTTCATTTTATCAAGACGAAGATTTTCACAACCTCCTCAAGCTGGGATCTGAAAAATCAGGCTATGTTCCATGTATTTTTATTACCAATAAAATACACTGGATGGAATAATCATGTACTCAAAGGAAGATGTCCTAATTGGTCTTTTTCTACACTATCCAGAGACTTACAAGAGTTAGAGATTCCTGAAATTGATGCTATGATACTACAGTGATGACAACCTTAAAAGTACCATATATAATTATTGTTTTATGTATATTTTTACCAAAACCATGCTTCAAAACAAAGATACTATAAAAACAGTAACTGGCAGCAGCTATTGATTTAAAATATTTTAAGTTTTCACTTCTCTGAGCATTATCAATGATGACTGGAAGGCAGCAAAGGCCCTCAGGTAGGATATCCAAGCTTTTATTTCCCAAGCTTTTTCAGAGATCAACGTTAGGGATTGGGAGAGTTTGTTTTGGAGAAAAACTTTTCAAGCAGGTTCTTTTTAATCTGTCTTTGACATGTTTGATTATTAAGTTATTTAAATTTTGCATATGCCTAGAAAATAACTTAGAGATGCAATGTACAAGTCTGAACAAATAAAAATAGGGTTCTAACTATATGTTATTTTCTAACAAGATATGCTCAGTCCTAGCCTCCTAAAAAATACTGAAAGTTTGGGTCTGAAATACATGTGCATGTATAAAGCTTAAATTACAAGCAACCAACATGATTGTTATGGATCAGATACTACCATTTTCCACTTCTTCATAAAATCCCATTCAGTATTTTCATAAAATAATGCTAAACTGAGATTGAGGGCATTTAAGCAACTATTTCCATTTTTTATGATAACATTAAAAATACAGGTCATTGGCCCCAACTCTCTGAAGGGATCCACAAGCACATGCTCTTGAAGTCCATGGGACTATGCTCAGGAATGAAAGTCCACAATTCTGAATTATTTTTGTAGTATTAGGGCCTTGCTCTTTAGTCTGGTCAATTTCTATTTAGAAACATGTAGCTGAAATTGTTGCTCAACTTTTACTCACTTTAAGTGATAAAAAAGTGCCAGGATCTAGATATTACAGCATTTTATAAAGTCTATCTCTGGGTGGATAAGAATCGGTTGATTTTAAAAAATCCATTTTTAAAATTTAAATTAAATACAGGTTTATTTAAAAAAATCTATTTAAAATTAAATTTGAAATTGTGACCACCTATATTAAAATCTAAACGTTCTAGAATCTATAAAATCATGTAAATAATATTAAGCAGTGCATTTGCTGCCAAGTTTTAAAGAAAGTCAAATCCCTGAATTCGTGGAAGTTACTGGCTAAGCAATTGGAATGAGAGTCTGAAGTGCTGAAGCTGCTTTTGACAGCAGTGGCCTCTTCTCTAACTGCAGAGAGAACTCTTTATTTCAGTTTATTCAACGAGTTCAGTTCAATGGTTAGTTCATTCAAAGTTAAGAAACCAATTTCTGTACTCAGTAGAACAGGAAGGGTTGTTTTCCTCTTCCAACCCTAAAACAAGAGGTGAGGGGATGAGAGCAACTAGTTCTAAAATCTTGAAGGACTGGTAACCTAGAAACAATCAGTTGAATACACTAACTACAGATAATGCTTCCTTTGTTTAATAAGGCAGTTAGTTTTATATGCAAAACATGTTTTGATAAATATTTTTTTCTTGCATCTCTAGCACATAAAAGGTAGGTTTATTTAACTAATAATAACTATTTTAAAATGTCTGTGCATTTAATTGAATTTTAATTTCCATCCAGATAAAGCCTGATACAAATCGCAAATGAAAAATTAATCATAATCTAAGAAGAAATGCATCATTAAACTTTTTCTAACGAAAGATAAAAGATTAATAATCCAAATAAATATAAATTAAGCTACATAATTGATTAAATAAACATGTATAGAAATAGTGTATCCTCCTGGTTTGCAAAAAGCACTAAATTTAGTGTAATGGCCATATTTAAATGCAAATTAACATGTTTTAATAGTTAACAACCAATGAGAATCACTTTCTTTAGGAAAATAATTAAAAAAGTATAAATGCAAAACAAGATTAAAATCCAAGATTTAAATTAAGGTTTTCTGGTCACAGATTTGAATCATGATTAAAGTCCATGATTTAAAAATCAATCTATCCTGTTCTCTCCTTTTGAAATTTACATCCAGATTCTGACTTAGGTCACAGGCAGAGATGATCCGAATACCCCTGAGCTTTCTGAGTGTTTCGAAGTTCCAACCCAGATCTGTATTCTACTTAGCTTGCAAGCTCCTCAGGGGAAGGACTGCTTTTTGTTCCATGTTTGTACAGCATCCAGCACAATGGGCCCTGATCCATAACTGGGGTCCCTAGGTGCTAGTGCAATACCAACATTATCTTGCAAATAGTACCTTTCTTTATAATGGGCTACACCCCAACCCACCAGAGGCCAATGTCCCAGGCTCTGAGGGGAATGTTTGAAGTCCAGATCCAAGTTTTACAGTTTATACCCATCTCTAGTTACAGGTGAAAAGTGAATTTTGGAGACTCATTGCAGTCACTTTTTGTTCACATGCCAAAGCCACTTCATACTGGGATCCTAGCAATCTGCTAAACTGAGGCCAAAAAATCCAATAGCTTAGCTGTTGCAGGTAAGAGCTGAGGTGTATTGGCTGCACTGGGGAGGGCAGGAAAGAAATGTTTGGCTTACAACAGTGGTTCTTAACCGGGGGGCCACGAGCAGGATTCAGAGGGGCCGCCAAACAGGACCGGCGTTAGACTCGCTGGGGCCCAGGGCAGAAAGCTAAAGCCCCACAGCCTGGAGCTGAAGCCCGGAGCCCTGCCACCTGGGGCTGAAGCAGAAGCCTTAGAAACTTAGTTTCATGGTACCCCTGTGGTTTGGGGCCCCGGGCAATTGTCCTGCTTGCTATCCCTTAATGCCAGCCCTGCTGTTTATATGCAGAAAACCAGATGTTGTGAAACAGGTGGGCCATGGAGTTTTTATAACATGTTGGGGGGGGGCCTCAGAAAGAAAAAGGGTGAAAACCCCTGGCTTACAATACATAGGTCTACATTTTGCCTGATACAAACCAGTTGCTACTAGTCCTTTGCTAACATGGGCGTGTGGCAAAGCCCATCTGTTTGATAAGCACTAGTGCAGGTGGAGGCAGTTGAGGGTGGAATTTCCATGTGGTGAGGGGTTTAAGTTTTATTCGTTTGCTGATTGACAATAAGATGAAGTGTGGTGAGAAGCTGTTGTTTAATGGACAGTCTGTTTCATATGGTCCTATGGTATTTTTTTTTTAAATTACTTCTGGGTTCATTCTGTGCCAAAAAATTAAAAATTCGGTGCACAATATTTTAAAATTCTGCAAATTTTGTCAAAATAACACTACATAATCGCACCAGTTTCAATTATTTTGGTAATTTATTTCAAATACCTGTCCGCAAGTATGTCTGTAACAATACAGACACACACAAAAATTCCCCCAGGAGTAGAGAGTTAAAGAAACCCCTATGACAACCCAGTTCCTGTTTTTCTGCCCTCTTCCCTGCCCCTCCAAGCCCAGCCAGGGGGCCAGACACCCACAACCCCTTCCTCCCCAAGCCCAGTCACGGGGCCCTGCCAGCCAATACACTCGAACCACCTCCCGCAGAGAGCCCAGCCATGAGGCCCCCCAGCTCAGACACCTGCACCCCCTCCCCCCAGAGCCCAGCTCAGACACCCCCTGCCCCCAGAGACAGCGAAAGCCTGATGCTCGGTCCCAGGCTTGCACAGAGTTTCCTCTGCGCCACTCTCTTCTTCCCTCAGGGCATGTTGGGAACTGCAGCTGCCAGGAACCCTCTAGCTCCCTCTCCCTCCCGCCAGCAATGTCTTCTATGTGCAGGCTGGGTTCTGCTGGGTCCAGTGGTCCCTAGTGGCGGCTAGCAGCAATGCAGCCTATTTCTGTGGGGAAAAGGAAATTCTGTGCGTATGTTAATTTCTGCAAAATTCTGCATTGCACAATGGTGCAGAATTCCCCCAGGACTATTAAATGTATGTCACAGATGTTCAGAGTGTGGGAGTCCTTTGATATGGATTATGTTTAAGATCAAAATCAAAATCGATAAAATTGCCCCTCCCCTTAAGATGTATAAATAGTTACATGACATAGAAGAAAAAATCAAAATTTGTAATCTGGACATTCTACAGACTAAAAAAACATTCAAATTGCTTCTTGTTAAATACCAAATGAAAAATGAAGTTTCTATTAGCTGTGCACCTATTTTAATGTGCTCATATACATGACAAATGTACACAACCATCAATTTAAGAAAAATAAATATCTTACTCTTTTCTTGCCCTTTTTTAGAGCCCTCTGATTTGGTGCAGAGAGAAACAAATGGAGAGAAGCTTCGGAGTCCCCATGCTTCTAGCTGTAGAGTCTGCAAATTAAAATCAAACAAATCTCTTATTTTTTTTAATTAGATAAAACTTTGATTTTTCATCTGCACTGTTCTTCTGATTTACTGTTAACTACTGTTTTGCGTAAGATGCAAAGAGGGATGACTGACGTGAATTCCCTGGATGCAGTACAAAGGTGATGGTAGAATGGTTCTCATTGGGATTCCTCTCACAGATTTGCTTTCTGTGAAACAGCAGAGACTATAATCAGAAATTCTTGTTCCTAAATTATACAGATAAAATACTGATGCTATTGTGTATACCACTTATACCAAGGAATAATACAGTTAAACTAAGCAAATATTTAAAAGTATGGCAGGAAACAGGTAAAGCTAGATAGTTAAACACACTCAACTCATAGAATCTCTTACAGTATGATTTTATAGACCAGAAATCCTCATGACGCCCACTCACCCTACATTATATTAAATACAAAAATGTTAAAAGAACATTAGTTAGGTTGCAAAGCCAAGCACTCATACTTTGGGAACTGCTAGAAATACCGTTATCTGTCCTCCTTGCACATCCAAGCTGTGCACTGAAGAGGAGCGAACATGTAACTGCAAGATCCTAATGCACATGCACAAGGAAGCCAAGTCAAGGTTGCATGAACAACCATCAATCTGTATGCAGTGTTGTTGAACCAGTGTTGGTTCCAGGATTTTAGAGAGACAAGGTCGGTGAGGTAATATCTTTTATTGGTCCAACTTCTGTTGGTGAGAGGGACATGCTTTCAAGCTATACAGAGCTCTTCTTCGCAGAAGCACTGCTGCATCCAGGTCATGGTTTGGATGGAGCCCAGTCTGGCTTTCTTTTTCCCACCTGGGAGGTGGAAGGGCTCCTACAATAAAGGTGCCCCTAGGAGGGTATGTGGCATGAGACACTGGAACCACAAGCTGGGTCTGGAGAGAAGTTATGGAGGGAATCCAGCTCCAGTCTCTCTCCACTGCCCTGGCTACTCTCATAACAGCTGCTCTGGCAGCAGAGTATCTGCTGCTTGTTCAGAACTCAGGCCAGGTTCTTTGTAATGGTCAGGGTTTCTGGTAAGCTGCAAAAAGGATCCATTACATTCTCTATAATGGAAAGCATTAGGCAACCTAGGGTGACCAGATGTCCAAATAAAATCGGGACCATCCCGATAGTCAGTTGTTTGTCCCGCGTCCCGACGGATGTATTCTGGCTCGGGGCTTTTTTTTTTAATTGCGCGTCGGTGGCGCTCCGGACCTGCCCCCCATGTGTCCTGATATTTTGTTTATGTAATCTGCTCACCCTAAGGCAACCTAAATATAGGGGTTTCTACCAGCTCCCCCTTATGCAGTTTCCAGTGCAGGCTACAAACTCTATTAAGTCACGACTCTCCTGCTTCATATGGTTTGGAGTCCCCTTCAGTGCCCTCAACATTATTAGCCTGATATACCAAAATTATGCTTTTTACTCTCTCGTATATAGGCCAGACAACATTCCTCCATCACAACCACATTTCGTTGTCTAGTCTCAATACACATTCCAGAAACACCTTATGGAATATTAGATGGAATTTGAGGGGTGGGGGGAAGATTGGAGGGGCAAAAAAATCCAATCTTATTTATCCATGCGTCTTATATGGATTAGAAATCCCATTACACCTTCCCCATTTTGAACTGAAGACCAACACCTACCACTCATATACAGATCACATATCTACCTACATCCAATCAATTCTACACAAATACCCCAACCCGACTACTACGGCCAGAATAGAAGAGTGTTTCCAATGTGTCTATAAAATGTACCACATTTTCATTTGCAGACAACTATTGCAAAAATTTCTCAAAAGTTGTGGTTATGAAATACGTATATCGAAGCTGGATGCAGGCAGTTAGGACTGTTCTGAGCCAGGACAATGTGATTTTACACATGCAGCTGTAAGATTCTATGAACTGTGAATACATTTAAGTATTTATTTACCTACCCTTCACTATTTATTTCCTTGCTTTTAAAATGTTTAGGAATTTTAGGAGGGCTGGGGGGAGAGAGGGGAGAAAGACTAAAAATTTAAAAAACCTGTTAGTGTTCCTTAACTTATACAGTAGCAAATTTCATGTTCATTTAAAAGAAAACAGCTATGGAGCACTTACAAGTTTAAAAATTGCACATGTTCATGGCTTCCCATAGCTCACTCTGCAAATTTTAAACCGTACTGTAAAACCAGGTCAGGGGACAACTATTTTGTTACCAGAGCCTCTGACTCAGTTATTTATGTAGCACAAAAAGGGCCAAAATGCTCTTCCAAAACTAACATTATTGGCATTATCCAAATTTTGAGTTCAAAAGAAAATACCTTTGAGTTTTACTCCTTTTCTGTTCAAGAAGAAATTTCACAAAACACAACCTTTTGCACTTACACTTCTGGAGAGCATCTATATTAGAAAAAAATAATAGTACCCGTACTGCAGCAGCCAGCCAATAACAATGCTTAGACCCGAATTTCATGATACAATTATAAAAATTCCCCTCGAGGCCAAAGCTGAAGCTGTTTCACGCAGCCGCTGAAATACAGGTACTCATTTTTTTCTAGTTTAGACAAAACTGAACCATCTCTGCTAGAAAGGTTTCAAGGGCTTCCCCCCCTGCAACCAATTAACCATTTTCCCAGAAGGGTCAAGGTAATGCTGCCCAGTATGCATTCAAGAATTATAGTCTTATTCTGTAGAGCAATTATTTGTTGTTTACACTGTTTCCTTCCAGAATGACATTTTTGGCCATATTGGATCATGTTTTACATTCTGCCATACTGTGTCCTCGTTTATATTATGTTGCATTAAAAGGAAAAACACAGAAAAAGCAAACCGCAAGTAAAGTTCAAATATTTGTTGTCACTGTGGGCTACACTCTTAAAGTATGCAGTAGTGAACAATCCTGTTTTGGTAGAAAAAGATACATAGGTTTGGCAGAAATCAATTTTAAAAAAAAACCAGTAATTTTGGCAGATAATAGTAATGTTTATTTTAAAACATTTTTATCTATTTAAATTTTCACAATAGTGGGAAATTCTGAGGGATGTCGGACAATAATTATTTAATGACAGTAAATGTTGAGATTCAAAAAGTTAAAGCATTGTAACTGTTAAAACACAAATTGTCAACAACACACATCAAAATATACAAAGTATATCCTTAAATCTAACTAATAAATTCTTACTTTAATAAATAATTTTGTACTTTGCCTATCTGTAAATTTCTATTATCATCAATAGAAATATTTTTGTCAGTGTGTGCGTGTACACTGAAATTGACATTTACTGATAAAAATCTAATCTTTCCAAGCCTAAAGATACACAGTACTTTTTTGCCAACTCTTTGGGCTTGTCTACATTACCCGCTGAATTGACGGGCAGCGATCGATCCAGCGGGGGTCGATTTATCACGTCTAGATGCGATAAATCGACCGCCGAGCGCTCTCCCGTTGACTCTGGTACTCCAGCAGGGCGAGAGATGCAGGCAGAGTCGACAGGAGAACATCAGCCGTCGACTTACCGCTGTGAAGACACCACGGTAAGTAGATCTAAGTATGTTGACTTCAGCTACGTTATTTATGTAGCTGAAGTTGTGCAATTTAGATCAATCCCCCCCGCAGTGTAGACCAGGTCCATCTCTGAGGCACAGAATTTGAGATCTGGTCATGGATTATCTACCTACGTATCTAGCCCAGTGTCAGACAGTAGCCACTACCTGTTAAAGAAAGGCAAAAATCAATTTAAACACACACAGTCAAATATAAAATGAGGTACAGTATGTGTGTGTAGGATTTTCTTGCTGATGCCAATTTTAGTCAGTTTACTTTTTGAAGCATGAGTTTTGTTTTCACCTCGAGCTGTTTCTTTAATTATTGTGTAGAAACATTTAAGATTCATTGCAGAGAAGCCCTTGCATATTAGAGCTTATAACTAGGATTGGCAGAATTCTATTTTTTTTATATAATTTTAACAGATACTATTGATGTTTATTTTTAAGCATTTTTTATTTGTATTAATTTTTATATTAATTGATTTAAATTTTCACAGTTGCAGGAAACTGGGGTGGAGTCAAACAATAATTATTTAATAACAGTAGATATTGAGCTTAAAAAATTAAAGTTTTATAACAATTAAAACACAAATTGTCAACATCATGTCAAGAACTATAATTGATCTTAGCCAAAAAAAGCTGAGAAGCGGTATCTTTAAAACAACAACTCAGACCTGTTGTTATTATTCATTCACTAGTCCATTTGTAACAAGCCTAACTTAAAAGTCTAAATCACTGGATTTTTGAGTGTAATAAGTTCTCAGGCAGCGTTTTTCCTACTTTCCCTATCTATAAATTTTGATTATTATCGATGGAATATTTTTCATCAGTTTGTGTATGGACAGTGATATTGACATTTATTGGTAAAAATCTAATCCTTCCAAGTCTGCTTATAGCCATGTTTGAAACAATTTTCAAGCACCATTCTAACAGATTGCATCAAACGAAGCCCAGTCTGCCTGAGCCTCGTCTTCACGAGGAAGGCTAATAAGTATTAGACTGGGGCGGGCAAACTTTTTGGCCTGAGGGCCACATCAGGTTTCCGAAATTGTATGGAGGGCCAGTTAGGGGAGGCTGTGTCTCCCCAAACAGCCAGGCTTGGCCCGGCCCCCGCCCCCTATCCGACCTCCCCCTGCTTCTTTCTCCCTAACGCCCCCCCTCCCCCACAGGACTCCTGCCCCATCCAACCCCGGCCTGTTCCTTGACGGCCCCCCCCGGGACCTCTACCCCATCCCCCCCCCATCCCCTGACTGCCTCTGAAAACCCCTGCACCTGACTGCCCCCTGCCGCCCCATCCAACCCCCCCTCCTTCCTGACTGCCTCCCCCGGGACCCCTGCCCCCATTCAACCCCCCTGTTCCCCAC